GAATTCCCCAGTCAGCATACTGATGGGGAGCATTCTGGGCGTTGAAGTCCACACGTCTTAAAATTGCAGTGATTGAGAAACACTGATCCAGGTTAGAAATGGAGGCTACATCCCTAATATGATCCCCACGATTTTCCCATCAGAAATCAATTCCGTCACTTTTTTTCCTCTCAGGGGAATAAAACCAGTAAAGGAATCTTAGTTTGGAATGAAATTTCTGCCTGAGCCGGGCAAACGAAAGTCATCGGCATGTTTGGAATTTAGGCTCTTGCTTTTAGATCTTCTGCAAACTGACCTCACAGGTTTGAAATTCCAATACGAACTTTCTTGGGCACATTTCTCCATGGGTATCCGTCAACGTCATAAGGTAAATCAACTCAAGTATTTGAAACACTCCGAATGATGGGTGAAAACATAGACGGAAAGGCTGAGAAAGTTACTAAGTACCTTAGAAGAGAAGATTTAAGAAGATCTCCTCTTAGGATGGACATTAGACGACTTTGGGCTGTTTGACTCCAGTTTTTGCCTTCAGAATGATTGGACCTCTGCTGTGACTTCTTAAGAACCACCTTCATGCTTTTGGAGAAGACATTTAAAGTCCCACGCAGCTGCGGTAACTCAAATTATATTTGCCTGCCTATTTTATGCTTCATTTCCCCATCTTTACGGAAGCTCAAGCTCGTCATGCACACAACAGAAGGATTAGCAGGCAAGGCGACCTCAAGATGTAATGAGATTTTTTTTAAAAATTGGAAGAGTAGAAGAAAATGGCCTGGCAAAAATTCCACGGCAGAGAAAATTGCACTCTGGAGAGAGAGGGGAAAAAAATGAAGAAAAGGGAGACACAGAGAGAAGCCGGGAAGTGTGGCCACAGAATACGGTGAAAAATATCGAGATAGTGGCTCTTGATGGGGTAATCAAAGCTCTACCAATTTTTTTATTTGCGTTGTGCAAAACAGACATTAAAAATAAGCACAGCGTTGATGGCACCATCATGGTTATCATCTTGAGATTTTTCACCGTAGCCTGCAGGCACTCAAGAGGTTGGAATTGGAAGCTGGACAAAAAGGCTGAGACCTTTTTGATTCACTCTCAAAAGCTATTTTAAAACGGAGGGATCCTTGGAGTTCTCTGAACTTGGTTTTTTTCTTGCAGACATTTCGTTACCCAAACTAGATAACACATCAGTGCTGAGTATTGAAACACCTGCAAGAAAACAACCAAGCTCATTTCAACCCCAATATTCTTCTTTATCGGTGATTTAAACCTTCTCTAAGGACTGAGAAAAGAGTTGCTGACAGACACAAACTGAGAGTGAATGCAGCTGGGCAGATCCAGATGTCAAAGTTGGGGAAGGGGACG